GTAAAATGTTGTTTTCATAAATTACTGTTATACTTTAAAGATTGCAGACGTTTTAAGACGGCAGCAGTCTGCTTTGGCCTTCGTTGTGTTTGGACTAGCCAACACAAAATTAAGACAGTTCCAACAGCCATCTACGACAGTTAAGATATTAACTATTGACAACAATTCTACAGAAAACAACTACAAAAAGTATGAATTATTGGTTCTAGCAGCAGCTGTTTTAGAAATAAAAATTCCAATTAGATTTTGCTGAGAGTATGGTTTCAACCATTAATTTGGTTAATCTTTTTTTGCAGCTTTTAATAAATTACTTTCTTTACTATTTAAATGTTCTGTAACAATATGGGAACTAGGGGTGTAACAGTACGCCCATGTCTTGGTTTGATATGTGCCTTGGTATGAGGGTTTGATATAGGTTCCGTATGGGTTTGGGACAATAAAAAATAAAGTCAAATGATACTTTTTTTAAACAAAGCAGACTCTCCTAGAAGCAGAGACAAAAAAAAACTGTTGTTTGTAGGGAGGGTCTAAGGCAGGGGTGTCCAATCCTGTTCTCCAATTTTGCATGTTTTAGATGTTTCTCAGCTCCAAAACATTATTTGAATGGTGATTAACAGGCTTCAGCAGAATGTAAAGAGGTAATTCAGCCATTGAAACAGGCGTCATGGAGCAGGGAAACAAGTTGAACATGCAGGACATGGGCCTTTGAGGAGCAGGATTGGACTTCCTTGGTCTGAGCAGGTCAAGTACAGGATTGCAGAACTTAAGTGGTTAAAAAAATGTCATGCTTTAATATTTTTTTCTTCTGAACTATAAACAGTAAGCCACAATGAAGTTTTCAGAATCATATATTTTAAGAAATACTGTATAACTAAAATTATTTTAAAATAAACAAAACTCAAGAAGTGATTACTTTAATAGTTTGATCCAGATTTCATGCACATTAACACAGAAGTGAATATTTCCCAAATTGGAAAATAAAAGCTAAACAAAATCATTAAAATGTGAAACAAACTTCTCAACGGGCTGAATGCAAAAAAAACGAGTCTTGATATCAGAGATACTGAACAAATCTTCTGGGTTGGTTTAGAGTAGACAGCTCAAAGAGACCCGTTCAAAAGGTCTGTACCGAACCTCCCCGGTACATTTACTGTTACACCGCTAATGAAGACACGAGTTTTAAAAAGCAGTTATGATTTTTTTCCCACACCATCAAATAAAACGCATGCTGACATTTGAGATTTCACGGACAAAATAACATTTGCAAAAACAAAAAAGAACCCCAAAACAAACAAAAATCCATAATGCAACAACAAAGAAGGCAAGGGAAACAGTTAAAACAAAACAAGGCAAAAAATATATATATACTGGCAAAATAATGAAACATTTCCACCGAAACAACACGTTCTGAAGTCATGCATGAAAACCAGAGGAATATACGAGACGGATACTGTATATTCTCCCAGGTTGAAACCACAAGGCCACACCGACAGCAAACAACAAGGATGCATAGAGATTACATTTGGCAGTATAGTACCTATTTATGGGAGGGCTTTTCACTGGATGGCGCAACACACTCACAGAGAGGAAGGGGGGGTCCCAGTCAGGCAGCCAGCCAATGGGAACAAGAGAGGGAAGAGGATTTGGTAAATAGGGGGAGGAGAGGATGAAGAGTGGGAGGCTGACGGGTTCATTTACAGCCGACTGTGATTTTACTAGAGATGAACGCAGACCTGGAGAGACCTGGACACCATATTTTTATGTATACAAACACATGGAGAACTCATCTTAAAGGAATCTGAAACGGGACAATTTTTTGTTTCAGAGGAAGTTATGATCTCCCTCTGCACTGAACTCAACCAGGTACACACATGAATAACTGCCGGATATGCAGTAAAAACAATAAGAGGCTCAATATTTAGACCTTATCCTGTCACATATCCTGTTAGTCGCCTTATAAAGTCATAAAAAGCATAAAAGAACTTCATAAAGCAAAATCAGCTGCATGCATGCATCGCGGACAATACAGCGCTTTTATGAAACACTTGGCTCCTGTCGAAGTGTGCACAAGAAATTAAGAAACGATTCGTTTTAAAATGTGGATTAGTGCGGATTTGACACGTTTTGAGTTGAAGTTTTTCAAAAAGACAGACATAAGCAACACATCTCTGCTCCTATGAGATACAAATAACGAGTGAATATTTTTAATTTGTATGGTAATAAATATATCACACAATTAGTTGAAAATTTTTTGAACCCTGGTTGACATTTTTGCAAAACTCTGGGTTCACTGTGCAGTTCCTTCATCAAGCTTGTTCCTGTCCAGCAACAACGAAAAGGACAGAACTTATGTCTCATTAGATCTGACACTAATATGCATACATAGATTGATTTAACTTATAAAAGTTTTATAAAACATACTCTATATTTCAGAGCACACAAAAGCAGCGAATGTTAGGGTAGAATAATCATTAAATATTGAACGGATTAAAAAAAAATCAAATACTCTGACTTGCTTAGCTGGACTTATTCCTTTTTAAACTCTGCTACCTGAAGCCAAAGCTCAGATCTTTTGAAGTATGGTTCTGTTGAAACATTAAGAGTAGGCAGGGCTGCACAATAATTCGATATTGATATATATCACGATATATACCAACTAGCAGTGGGAACACATCTAACTTGTTTCACCATCTGAAGAGTTTCCACTCTATAGAATGAGTCAGAAGATGAAGCACAATAAGTTTGAGCCAACGTGTCCCTGAAACAACCCCCCAGCGGTATCAAAAGAGAAACACATGGGTTATGTTGTTGTTTAAAGTTAAAACTATTAACATTGACAAAGTTGAGAGTTTTATGTTTGACGGTGATTTCAAATTTCTTTGAAGGATAAATACAAATAAAAGGTGAACATTCATTTATTTGTACAGTTTTTCTGAGGCTTTTATATTGTTTATGTCGATGTCGGAATTATATCGTTATTGACCTAAATTAATAAATATATCGCGATAAACGTTTTGGCCATATCGTCCAACCCTACGAGTAGGGATGCACGATATGCCGATATGTTAGAACTTATTTGGCCAATAACTGACACCAATACATTTTTTTTTCTAGACCCACTTACAGAGACTACACAGCTTTCTCTGCTGTGGAATTAAAATACATTATTCTTCACGGTCTTTGTCAGTTTGGCTGCTACCAAATGCAGACGCCAAAAACGGGGCTGAAAATGACGTAACACTTTAACTTGGATTATGTTTAATGTCAAATTTATTCATGACATTTACTCTCTAACACAGTGACAACACTCGAACAGTGCAAATTTGTACATTTTCACTAATCTAAACTCCACAATGTGTATGACGTCATAATGTGCTGGCACTGCAGGCATCCTTGTTACTGGGTTGTCATACAAAAAACAGCACCATATATATATATCCTGTGTATATAAACAGTGCCTTTTCATAATAGTGAGTTACTTTGATGGAATGGCCGGTGTGCGATATTTAACTTAATCGCTAATATCGGGCGATATCGATACCATGCCGATAATATCGTGCATCCCTAGTTATGAGCATGTACGATGGAATTGTTTTAAGACGACAGCAGCATTCCATATTGGACCCGTCTCCGCACATACTAGGCTAATTCAATCTGGTTCAACTCTATTTCACCAAACTGAGGTTATTTGTACAGAACCACCCTTCAAAAAAGTCTGAACTGTTGCTTTAACGTGGAGTTCGTAAGCATCGATCTGTAGATGAAACAAGAGTAGGAGACAATTTTATGTAAAATGATGAACCAGAAGGCTGAATCAGAAACTTATGAGGTTCTGTGCCGTTTTTCTAATAAGCTGACAATATTCACAACTCGGCACTTTCCTTCGTCTGCTCCACGCTGACTGAAAGAACGCCGCAGTTTCTGGTTTTCAGTAAATAAAAAAACAGAGCACAACAAGCAAATAATAAACAAAGATACTTATCTATGGAGATGGGCATGGACTGTCTGCAGCACAAGTATCTAAACACCGGTTGAACGCTTACCATTAAAAATTTAACTAGTCTTAATTGCGATTTTAGTTTCACGATACCCTGATGACAAAAAGCAAATCCAAATCTGTAAGCCTTTGCACATGCTTGGCTCTAAAACTTGCGCCTCGGGGGGATGAAGAAGCTCCGTGCCATTCCACGCGAGCTTGGCACTGACAGACAATCAATCAGCTGTAATAAACATCACTGCAACAACAGGTGGTGAGTGCTGCATCAGGTGGTGGGGGCTGACTGACTGCATTCCTCTATTCTCTCATTCCAATACATAAAACAATTAATAGATCCTTAATTTTTTTCCACATATTTAATCAAACTAAAAAATAAAAAAATAAACCAGACTGAATAAAAAGGATCACTTTAACTTCTGTGAGTTCTCAAAAAAATGATAAAACAAGCTGTGTGAGAAGATGAAGCCCGTAAATAAATCTCTTGAGGAAAAGGTTATAAACTCCCAAAGCCGGTAGTTTTACATTAGTCTTCTGTAGAAAGGCACGGCTCCAGCTGGAGAACGATGCATGTTTTATCACGAGCGTCTCCGTGGAACCTCTCAAGCTTTAAATAGCACAGAGAGTATATTTCTATTTCAAGTGGCTCCAGTGGGAATAAATAATCTACATCTGTCATGCTGGAATGCAGTGAGTGGTCATGTTCAGCAGAAACACAGTTTATTTCACCTTACGCTAACGTTTTATTAGCTTTGCGCTCTTACTTTAGCTCTGTTTTAAGGACATTTTATGTTTTTAAATCTTTAAAAATGAATTTGGAAAAGACAAAACCCGTTTAAACACACGACTGCTGTTGATTATCTGCGAAAATGTTCTTCCTCGTTTAAGAAGATCGTTTTTCGGACCCAAAGAGCTCTAGGAGTTTCTGGGTTTTCAGTCAAATAAATTACATCAGGGAAAGTAACCGAAGATTAAACGAGGCACAAAAGAACAAAAGAAAACGTACCTTAAAGGCATATTTGCGGCTGATGTGATCTTCAGGTCCCACAGGTGAAATAACGTAGCTGGGCAGAGGAATACTACCCAGGACCGACTCCTCTCTGCTGTCTGGGGAGAGAAAAAGGAGAGAGAGGAAGTAGTGAGGGGAGGGGGGATAACCAGGGTGACGAGGGTGAGAAAAGGGGTGAGAGAGATATATAGGAAGGGAAGGCGCAATAGAATAAATATCAGTCATCACCCATTAATTTCCTCCCTGCCTGCCAGTGGGATCAGAACACACATGCCGTCAATGGTAACACAGTTCGAAGCCAAATGTCTTGTATACCAGTATCACTGAACCCTCCCTGCTCCAGCTGGCAGCTTCCTGCTTTTCCTCTTACCGTGCACAACTTTTATCCCTCCATTTAACTAAGAACCCTCCATGACATCGTGCAACCTTTGACCCCAACCTAAACTTACATCAGCCCTTTGAAGGCGAATGTTCTCACTTTTCATTGCCACCATCAGTCCTGCAGGTTTGCACCTCTATAAATAAAGAGCTTCGGTGCATTTGTTCACCGCTGAATATTGTCACGGGATTGTAGAATGTGCGTGTGCGTGCGTGACATGTACCACATCATAAAATTTAGTACAGATATGAAAATATGCGTGAGTGTTTGCCTGAGAGGTGATAAGGCAGCACTCTGGACTAAAGGAGTGATTGGTTATAAATAAAACAAGGTCCTTTGGAGGAGACGTTCCCTAAATGGCAGACGAGACGATGATCACTTTTTATCAGTCTTGCCCTGTTTAGTCTCACTGCCGCACACACACACACAGAGCAAATGTGACCAAGTAAAATGAGGTTGAACTACAAACAGCCAGGACAGTGATAATGTACTTATAGTGCAGGGAGTGGAGGTGGGGGGGGGGGGGGTGTCAAAGCATGGAAGGCATCACATGAAAATGATAAGGCAAATAAAAATGACTGAATGGATGTTATAAAAAACAAAAGAAGCCTCATTTGTGTGCTACTGTTGTGCAGTTTACCCAGAGAAGACTGTGATGTATGTGAGGATTAATCAGAAGGCAGACTCCCCTCATAAATAATACATTTACATTGATACATGTGTAAGTTTGAGCCACTCAACATCCCTGTTGGAATTACCTGCAACCCAGATGCTCCCAGGTATGTAAAATTATAACACAAAAAAAACTACTTCACTGGTCAAATGAAGGTCAAACCAATCAAATTAATAGGTCACATACTACCTGAGGTATACAGTAAGTTCATTTAAATCAATTGTACTCGTGTACAAACTACATTTCAGCCATTCGCTAAAACCTCCTGCTCATACTGGAGAATTTCATAAATTATGCAGAGAATTTGCTGGAACAGCAAGGAGGGCCTTGCAAAGACCTGTGAGATTCTGTAAGCTACATTCGGACTTATTCGAACACTGCCCTGAACTTGTTCCTCTTTTGGGAAGATGCAAACAAGATAGACAGAGGCCTCGACGGTAAACACACAGGTCTTATTGAGTGTGAGTCTTCAGAACTCAGACAGAACTAATGTGGTGAAGTTCCCAACTACAGGATGTGAGTAAATCCAAAGAAAATGTGGTACTTGTATTCCATGCTAACAACATCAAGCATAATGTTTTTGTGTACATAAAACTGTTCCGGTATGAGAGTAACTTGAGTGCAATATTGATTTCTAGAATTGCGCCGCTCAAGGTGGCTGCATGTTGGAGCAGCTCCGTTACTTTCATTCTGAGATTTTGCTTTTGGAAACTTTAATTCCTATTGTTCTGGATGTAAATCACATTTTTTGGATGATTGTCTTCTCTGGTATCGGATGCTGAGCAGCTGGAAGGATTTTTACTGAAACTATTTTAATTTTGGACATTTGTTATGATGCGTAACCACGGCAACAAGGCAGTTTTCTACAACCAACAGCAGCTGATTAACATCTCAAAAGCTCAAATAATATCTCAACTACAGCCCCAAATCTCAAATGAGTTGAAAAGGATGATCTGTGGATGCATTCTCATCTACCTGCCAGCTGTGCTCAAGTGCCTGACCACTGAGATCCTGGAACTAGCAGGAAACACGGTTCATGACAGCGGAAAGACAGGATCGTCTCTCAGCACCTACAGTTGGCTGTCCGCAGTGACGAGGAGCTCGGCAGACTGCTGGGAGGAGTGGCCATCGCTCTGGGAGGAGTTCAGCCCGGCATTCGGGCGGTCCTACAGCCTGGGGGAACTGAGAAGCCAGCTGAGTCTGGGTGGACGGATCAGACGGCATCTGCAACCAGTTTCTTAGGATCCACAGTGGGATGGACTTTTACAAGAGATCCTTCCTGTCTACAGCATCAGTATCTATAACATCTCTTAATGAAACGAGGATGTCCCTTTGGGATTAATAAAGCATTTTTTTAATTGAATTGAATATCAACTATATCATCAATGAGTGCAATATCCCTCCATTGACTATGGTGACATTATTTACATGCACACTCCTACAAGCACCCTGCAGATGTTGGATGCTGTCTATCATGGTGCTTTACAGGATGCAATCTCCTCTGTGGTCCACACTGCGCTCAACCACCTGGAGCAGAAAAACTCTTACGTCCGTATGCTCTTTGTGGACTTCACATCCGCCTTCAACACCATGATCCCCCAAACCCTGATGGACAAACTATCCACACTAGGACTAAGCCCCTCCATCTGCAACTGGGTACTAGACTTTTTAACAAACAGACCACAGTTAGTGAGGATCCACAACCTCTCCTCCTCCACCATAATCAATCAATCAACCTTTATTTATACAGGTAAATCCCATTGAGCCTCGAGGACTCATTTACAAGAGAGACCTGATTTAGGAAATGGCTGTGTTCAAATTCACAATTAGACCTCACACAAGTCATCAAGCAGCAACGCCTAAGCAAAGAATCCCAGAAACACTTTGATCAAATGAAATCAAATCAAATCAAAATCAAATCAAATAACCCTCAGCACTGGCTCTCCTCAGGGATGTGTGTTGAGCCCCCTTCTGTTTACTCTGCTCACATATGATTGTGCAGCTACCCATCCAGGTTGTCACATTGTAAAGTTTGCAGATGATACAGCGGTGGTGGGATGCATCACAAACAATGATGAGTCCAGCTACAGGCAAGAGGTGGAACACCTGGAGAGCTGGTGCAAAGAGAATAACCTTCACATCAATGTGAAGAAGACAAAGGAGATGATTGTGGACTTCAGAAGGAACAAAAATACCTACACCCCCCTGAACATAAGAGGATCTGCAGTGGAAGTGGTCTCCAGCTACAAGTACTTGGGTGTACACATGAATGACAACCTCAGCTGGAGCAACAACACCACCAGCCTGATCAAGAAAGCTCATCAGAGACTCTACTTCCTCAGACGGCTGAGGCGAGCTGGTCTGGGAAGCTCAGTCCTCACCTCCTTCTACAGGTGTGCAGTGGAGAGCATCCTGTGCTCCAGCATCAATGTGTGGCATGGAGGCTGCACAGCTGCAGAAAGAAAAGCTTTGCAGAGAGTGGTGAAGGCTGCACAGAAATCTGTTGGAATCAGTCTCCCCACCATCACAGACATCTACACCTCCAGATGCAGGAAGAGGGCCACCTGCATCATGAAGGACCCCACCCACCCAGCACACACACTTTTTGCCCCACTCCCCTCAGGAAGGAGGTTAAGGAGCATTAAGTGTAGAACCACTAGACTGAGGAACAGCTTCTACCCTGAGGCTGTTAGACTCATGAATCTCTAACTAGAATAATCACTGTGAAAAACCATATCATGTTGCTGCTGATCTGTTTCATGTTGCTGCTGATCTGTTTCATGTTGCTGCTGATCTGTTTCAATGTTGATGTGTTCATGCGTGCACATCTGCTCACAGACTCATGTTCATGTTTGTGCTGATGTTCAATGTTTTATGTTATGAGTGCTTAGTGTATATTTAGTTGATGTTTTTCTTAGTTCATATCTTAGATGTTATTACTGTTTTTATTATACATTTTATTGTTGGATGTAACTGGGACCCCGTGTACATAATTTCGCTCCACCACATGTACCACATGAGGTGCGAATGACAATAAAGAAACTCTGACTCTGACTCTGATTAAGATTCATAACTGGCTGTAACTACCGTACCCACCACTCTGTATTCACTGGTTAACTGGACATCATTAACTTCACGCAGACTCTCCTACTGGTACATTTTCTGGTCTGCTGCCTTCATACATCTCCTGCTACATGTCACTATGTGAGTGCAGCTATAGCGTGAGCTCTCAGGACATTATTACATGCAGTGTCCCCTCAGTGCGGACTGAACTAGGCAATAAGGGCCTTCTTCTACTCCGCTCCTGTTTCCTGGAATATCTTGTAAAAAAATCTGAAGCTCTCGACCTTGACCTCTCTAAGTGGCTTCAAACATCAAAGTTCCTGGCAAAAACCAATGCAGACATGTTCCTGTTTTTAGTTTTCTCCATCACGTTATAATCTAGCTGCTTTTTCACTACTTTTTCCTTTTGACTGTCCTTTTGGTTGCCATTTTATTTTAACTTGTTAAAAAAAATTGTATGCCTCTTTTATGATTGTCTATTGTTGTCATTGTTGTCCACTGTTGACATAATTCTTTGTTAATATTCAGGTCTCTCTTGTAAATGAGTCCCCGAGGCTCAATGGGATAAACCGGTCTAAATAAAGGTTGAATGAATGAAAAAACTTCAGGGTGTAAAACACCTGATGTTGTTTCCTCCTAAGAATGTGCAGTTGAAGAGCTGCACCTGACAGATATACTAGTTTTCTCCTGGACTGTCAGATTCTCCTCACAAATGTTGAGGGTGTTTTTCTTTTTCTGTGCAGTTTTTATAAATAACGTAAGAAGAAAAGGCTTACAAAGACAGTGGTGACGCCATCTATGTTGTATTCTTTATTTTATTCATTTATTTACCTTTTATTTAACCAGGCAAACCTCACTGAGATCCCAGATCTATTTTGCAAGGGAGGCCTGGGCCTGAAGACTAACACATGTTTTTAGACTGTAGGAGGAAACTAGAATACCCAAAGAAAACCCGAGTAGAGGACGCATACTCCACACAGGAAGACCCCAGGTTCAAATTGGGGGTTGAGACAGTGGCATTGACAAAAAGGCAAGAGACAAAACTAGAAGTGGCAGAGCTGAACATGTTGAGGTTCTTCCTGTGAGGGATAAGGATGGATAAGACAAGAATGAGATCATCAGAGGTACAGCACAGGTTGAACAACTGGGAGATAAAGTTAGCGAGGCCAGACTGAGATGGTTTGGACATGTCCAGAGGAGGGACAGTGGGTATACTGGTAGAAGGATGTTAGAAATGCAGCTGCCTGGAAAAAGATAAAGACCAAGGCCAAAGAGGAGATGTATGGATGAAGTAAAAGAGGACATGGATGTAGGTGGAGTGAGGACAGAGTGGGATGAAAGATGAAATCTCAGATAGTGCCTTTATGTATGAGGTTTCGGTTTTCATGAATGGTAAATGGACTGTACTTTCATATAGCGCTTTTCTATCTAATCAAGATACTCCAAGTGCTTGACAACACAATCTGTGCCCTCATTTACTCATTCACACAGCACTCTACTAGATCTCTCCAAAGCTAATCTGAATCTGTGGAGACTAATTAATGTTTTTAGAACACATTCATGCACCGATGGGACACACGTCGAAGGCAGTGAGGGGTTCAGTGTCTTGCCCAGGGACACTTCAACATGTGACTGCTGGTGGAATCGAACCCCAACTCTCCCATTGGAGAAAGACTGCTGTAACCACTCAGCTGCCCGTAAATTAATGTGTGGGTTTCCTTCAGGTACTTAGATTTTCTCCCACAGCTCAAAGACATGCTGATTGGGTTAACTGCTTTTTATCTCATCATTTTCCTTCTGAGGGGTCTTTCCTTCTTCCTAGAAGCTCAACGTCCTTTGTCCAATACATCCACTGTCCCTCTTCTCATGCTCA